TGGGCGTGGTGGGCTCTCTGTTGCGCGTGCTCAGCCTGAGCCCAGGCTCCACCTCCAAGAGCCGGGAGGGACCGGCTGGGGGAGAGGAGAGGGCGTTTGCTGAGGTTCCACAGCCCGCGAAGGCTGGGCAGGGTCTGGGGCTCGGTTCCGACCTTTACCATCCAGGGACAGTGCAGGCTGCTGGTGCTTTTAATGTGGAGGATTGCACCCGTTCCCAGCCAGTTCTCTGTAGCCTAAGGGGAAGGGCTGCTAAGGACAACAGAAATGCCCAAAGCTCCCGGGAAGCTCTGGCTCTCTGAGGCCTGACCTGGTGGGAATTGCAGGGAGATTCACGTCAACCACGGAACTGAAAGTTAGCTGGACGTGGTCCCCTGCCCCTAGCAGGATTGAGGTTATACCTCCTACACGGGTTCCATGGTGAGCACTGTAGAATCTGGGGGCTGGGAGAAGGAACTTTGTGTCAGGGGTTTCTTTTTACGGGTGAAAAAGAAATGTCCACGGGTTTGAGACTTTCCCTGTGGTATGTAGTGAGTGGAGGAGCCCAACTTTCTTTACTGTGAGGCTGCATTAGTCAGCCAACAGGTGTTGAGCCTTACTGAGCTTTTCGAGCTGGGATTATATGGTAAAGGGGAACCAACCCAGTGTTACAGGGGCAGCATTAACCCCAGGGGAAGCGTAGAACTTTGCTGAGAAGGGGTGCTTGGGTGGAGTTTGAGGAAGGGGCAGGAGCTGGTGGGATGGAGGAAAAGACTTGTTTTCACCTGGAAAACAGCATGGGGAAGGCGTGGAAAGAGCACCGATTTGGGAGGTGGAGTCCTGGAGCCTGACGGAGCAAGGGGTTTCCTGTGGGCGGTGGGTTTCTTGAGCCACGAGAGGAGAGAAGTACATCTAGCAGGGCCTCCTGTGCTGCTCCGAGAGATTTGGATTTTGTTCTGAAAGCTGAATTCGGTAGATGCGTATCTTAGATACCCTGTCGTGTAGAAAAAAGCGTTGGACAGTGAGCAACCACCCTCGGGAGCTCATTGCAGTAATTCCCAGGAGAATTGCTGAGGGTTTTAAAGAGTGGCTGGCAGTGGGAGAGGAGAGGAGAGGAGAGAAGAGAGGAGGGGAGGGCAGGGGAGGGGAGTTGAGTTGTGAATTGGTATGGAGATGGAATACACCATACCCAGTATTGTTCAGTAAGAATGTATTGAAGAGGACTCTGTTCCTGGAATTTTCCAACCTATGACTATCTGTTAAGGAAAGGCCCAGCATTTTTTTTTTTTAAACTGCAGATGTTGCTTTGTAGATGGTAATCGAATCCCAGTTTATGGTGGGGAAATGGTCACATGTATCAAAGGTGTTGAGATCAGGATGATTAAACATACTGGACTCTTGTAACCCAGTAGATGCAAATTAAACCCATACTTAGATCACTTTCTATCCATCAGATTAGAAATAATAAAGTTTGAGGAGGAGCAAGATGGGAGACGCTGAAGAGGGTGCTTTTCGGCAGGCAGGACCCTCCACTGCCCCAATTTCGTTCAGCTTCATTCGCACGGCTGCCCGGAGACGGCTGGCAGACCCGGGAGATGGCCTGGGTGCGGCTCTCAAAGAGAACGGTTTCTTGATTGTGGAAGGAAGGAAATTGCAGAGTGTTAATCCCTCAGAAGCCCCCAGGGAACTTGTCGTCCCTTTGATTCAAAATGGCCCTGGAAGACTGCCACCAACCCAGGCTCCTGGCCCATCTGCTGAGGCCATGGTGGATGGGGTGCTGTCCCAGGCTGTGAAGGAGCTCATGGAGGAATCCGAGAAGTCTCTGGAGGAGAAAGAGAATGAGGGTGTTGACCCCATACTCCCTCTCTCCATGATCCAGAACAGATGCATACCCAGCGAGGAAGGGGCAGACAGCGAGCCCTGGCCCGAGACAGTACCCAAAGAGGCAGATTATGAGGCAGTCCCTGTGGAGGCTTATGGGCTGGCCATGTTGCAGGGCATGGGCTGGAAACCTGGCCAGGGCATCGGCTGCACCTTCAATGAAGTGGTGAAGCCCCGTGTCAACACACCGAGGCCGAAAGGGTTAGGGCTAGGCACCAGCCTGATTGAGCTCCAGGCCCTGGCCCCCACCAGCCCCCTCCGCCTGCTGAGGCCAGATGAGGAACACGAGAAAGATAAGGAAGACCAGCCTCAAGGACTGGCACCTGGAAGAGCTGTGGTGGTGCTTGCTGGCCCTCACCGAGGCCTCTATGGTAAGGTGGAAGGCGTCGATCCTGACAATGTCCAGGCCATCGTTCGTTTGGCCGTGGGGAACCGCATGGTGACTGTGCAGGAGTACTTCCTCAGGACTGTTTCCCAGCAGGAATTTGACAAGAACTCCTTGGATCTCAGCCAGGTGAGCAAAACTTCTCCAGGGGGAACAGCCTTGTCCCGGAAGGCCTTCCAGGATCCAGACCTCCCCGCCCAGTGGGGAGCGGAAGAGAGGAAGAGGAAACACCTTCCAGGCCTGCAAGAGGAGCTGACATCCAAGAGGGTGAAAGCAGCTTCCAGGAGGCAGCACTGGTTGCACAGGGACCTGCGTGTGCGGTTCGTGGACAAACTGCACAAGTATTATAACACCAAGATGACAATTGAAGATGTCTTCAGTCCAGATACTTGTATATGTCAGACAGATGAAGGCCAGGTCCTGGAAGGCGTCAGGGAAGACATGCTGGAGACCCTTGTCCCCAAGGTCCAGGGCAGCCGAGTGATGGTGGTGCTGGGGCCACAGGCTGGAAGGGTGGGCCATCTGCTGCGCTGGGACAGAGAGCAGAGCCAGGCCGTGGTTCACCTGCAGAGAGAGAACCGGCTGGTGGAGCTGCACTATGATGCTGTCTGCGAGTACGTGGGTCCCCGTGACTCAGACGAAGACTGACCCATGGATTCACTCCATTCCCCAGGCAGTTCCCAGTTCTGTCCTGTGGAAAGCCTGTCTTTGTGAAGGTGGGGAGGTCATTGTTCCGTCCTGCACGTGCAGCCCTGGATGGTACAAAATGGATAGACCAGAAGAGAGGCTAGAAGCAAACCTAGTATTTACCAGCATTGATATAAAATAAAAACCATTTTAAAAAAATGATAAAGTTTGGTACTATCAAGAGATGTTAGGTATTTGAAGAAAGGATTCACTACGAGTGGAACTGTACCTTCAAACACTATAGCTACTAGCAAAATGGGTATATCTTAAGACTCAATGGTTCTTCTAGAAAGTAGCCTAGAGAAACAGACATTTGTATACAAGAAGAGGAGTATTAGGATGTTTATGGGAATATTTATAATGGTAAAAAAAGATCGAAATAGACTAAATGTCCATTAGTAGGGGACTGTTTATAAAGTGGATATATATTTTTCTAAAAGTATAATATATTGATTGGAAAGAAAATGCTAGCTTCCTATAGTGGTTACCTTGTGGTGTGGAGAGAATGGGACAGCACATGGGGAAAATTTCATCTTTAATGTTTTGTTTGTTTTATGGGGAAAGAGACTTAATAGATTTACAAAATATTAGCTGTTGATGGCCTTTGATAGGTAATAAGATGTTTTGTGTTATATTTTGTTTATTTCTCAGGTTCAGTATCTACCCTTCAATTTCCTGCAACATAAATTGGAACAAATTTTAACTTAATATGTAGCTATAAAAGTCATTTGGGGAAAAGACTAAACTACAATGATAACCAGGTTTCAAAAATGGAAATTCAAGTGTTAAATAAGCAGAGAAAATAAAAATTTGGAAAAACCATTAACCATTGGCCAATATTACTTTGCTAGATTTCTAAATTTTTCTTACCATTAGTAGATTTAAAATGAATTTTGCCCTATTTGGGTGGTTTAGTTGGTCAGTGTCTTCCTGTACATCAAAAGGTTGCAGGTTCAATTCCTGGGCAGGGCACATGCCTAGGTTGTGGGTTCAGTCCCTTGCTGGCTGGTATGGGTGGCAAGGATCAGTGTTTTCGCTCTCATATCCATGTTTCTCTCTCCTTCTCCCTTCCTCCCTCTCTAAAAATCAATACAAACATAACCGTAGGTGAGGATTAAAAAAATGAATTTTTTACTATTCTGATGTACGATTAGTTGCTTATACCTTTGTAATGTTAAAATATAATTTATCAAGAAAAAGGTAAAGTCCATCACTCCATAAAATATAAAAATGAGCAAGTGAGTTAAAGATTATATTTAACTCATTCATGAGGAAACTTGTAGGTCAGAAAATAGTGAAATGACTGTGCAGATGGAGGCAAAACTGGCTTATTTCTACAGTGGGAGAAGTCAGTCGATCCTCCACTTGATAGAATTAATTTGAATGTCTTTGGATAGGAATTATTTGCATTGTTATCCAAAGTTTATAGAGGTGTAAGAAAAACTCCAGTAGAATTTTTAGATATTAGATTAGATACCCTAGAACAGCGGTTCTCAACCTGTGGGTCGAGACCCCTTTGGGAGTCAAATGACCCTTTCACAGGGTTCGCCTAAGACCATCGGAAAACACATATATAATTACATATTGTTTTTGTGAGTAATCACTATGCTTTAATTATGTTCAATTTGTAACAATGAAAATACATCCTGCATATCAGATATTTACATTACGATTCATAACAGTAGCAAAATTACAGTTATGAAGTAGCAACGAAAATAATTTTATGGTTGGGGGTTACCACAGCATGAGGAACTGTATTAAAGAGTCGCAGCATTAGGAAGGTTGAGAACCACTGCCCTAGAAGGACATGCTCTGATAGAATCTAATTTGCCCCTGGATCAGAAATTTTCCCTGTAGGGAAAATAAATGATTAACCTGAACAAAATACTTTTTTCATTTGAGAGTTCAGATGAGATCTAGTTGGATTTTAACCCAAGTCTTTAAACAGGAAATAAAAGGATCTGAGAACTGAATAGTCTCTTCCTAATTCAGTTCTACCATCTCATTTCATAGATGGATAATAAAGGACCAGAGAGGCCCTCAGATCTCTCCTGAGTTAGTAGTTATAAGTCCTGTGTTAAAGAGAAATTGCATCGGACACTTGTTAAAAACAGCAAGACGGTTTTTAAAAAAATTTATTGTATTGATATTTTACAGAGAGGGATAGAGAGTTAGAAACATCGATCAGCTGCCTCCTGCACACCCCCTACTGGGGATGTGCCCGCAACCAAGGTACATGCCCTTGGCTGGAATCGCACCTGGCACCCTTGAGTCTGCAGGCCGATGCTTTATCCACTGAGCCAAACCAGTTAGGGCTTGGCAAGATGGGTTTTTACTATATTTCAGCTGTTTCATTAGGGGAGAGAGACTCTGGTATAGAACTGAGCTTAACTCTGAAGACAGAGAGGACAGCTGGGACTTAAGGGTGAGAGGGTCAGTGGAGGAAAATTACTAAGAGGAAACTTGATTAGTTATCAAAGGTGGGAGATTCTCACAGGATTTTTGCTAAAACAGCTCAGCAGGCCAAGGCTTAGCTGGGAAGAGGGCTGAGAGGAGCTTGACTCAAGTTTGGTCAAGGGGGAGGTTTTGTGTCTCTTGCATGTTGTCAGCCGGTACCACTTCCGTGATTTCATTGTAAACTTCAGGAGAGCAGAGAGTAGATCAAAGACCTTCAGGTTGGAAGGCTCTTTTCAGATGTCCTTGTCTAGCTTGGCTTTGATGGTTCGCTGTTTCTAACCCAGAGCCAGTAGCAAATCACATCTGGCAGTGAGAGGATACAGACAATCATGGTGGTTAAGGTGTGGGCTTTGGTGTCAGACCTGGGTTTGAACTTGACTCTGCTATATAGATGGTCATGTGACCATGGCCTTATTTCTTATATTGTTGTTGATAATTTATCTCAAAGGGGCACTCTGCCCCAAACCTCCCAAATGGATCGAACCCCACTTGATGGTCGGCTTCTTGAAGTCAAGCATGAAGTCAAGCAGAATCCTTCCGTTGAATCGCTGACCTAGTGTAGCCTGGTAACTGAAGGGGTTCCCAGGACCAAGTGCGAAGAGCAGAGGTTTCGTCCCTGGAGGCTTGTGAAATCCTTCGTAAAGGCTTGTGCGTTGACCTTAGCCTTGTGTGGATCAGGGTGTCTTTGATCGCCCACGCGTGCCTTAGAATAGCAGGGTGAAGAGCACGGTGGGTGTCCTCCTGGGGGAAGCACGGAGGCCCGCTCTGTGCTTGGGCTCCAGGTGTGGGGTGTAGTGTCCCCATCTTGGTTACAGGGCCTCCCAGACATTTACATAAACAACTTTTATGACACGTCAGGTGATGTAGTGGAAAAAGCAGTCTTTGGAGTCAGATCTTCATCACTTACCAGCAGCGCCACTTGCCAGTAAGTTTCTCTACCTCTGAGCCTGTTTCCTCCAACGTCTGAAGGGAGTAGTGAGATTGGCCCACGGCTGCTGCGAGGCTTGTGTGAAGTGCCTTGCACATTACACGCTCAGAGCAGACAGCCACGGTATCCCACTCTCCCAGCCTGTGCTTGGGGGCACTTGCTCCTCCTCCCTGGTTAGAGTATCAATTGTCTGTTCCTTTTCTCCCCACAGATGTCAAGCAGACTAAACGCATATCCCCTAACAGTACACCTTGGAGATCTTTCCGCTCTTGGCACATTGAGGTCTGCCTTAATCTTTTTAAAGGCTTCACAGTACCCCCTTATAAAGCATGTACCATAATGATTTAACTAGACAGTCCCTGTAGATCAGCGGTTCTCAACCTGTGGGTCGCGACCCCTTTGGGGTCGAATGACCCTTTCACAGGGGTTGCCTAAGACCATCGGAAAACACATATATAATTACATATTGTTTTTGTGATTAATCACTATGCTTTAATTATGTTCAATTTGTAACAATGAAATTGGGGGTCACCACAACATGAGGAACTGTATTAAAGGGTCTCGGCATTAGGAAGGTTGAGAACCACTGCTGTAGATGAATGTTTATGTTTAGCTGTAGGGTGGGCTCCTGCACCTCCTTAAAATTTTCTCTCTTTGAAAATGATACTCCTACTGGGACTCCCTCTCCTGCCTTAGATTTCTCCTGGGCGCTCATCATCACCTTTGTATTTCAATGGTCCGTCTCTTCCCACAAGAATGTCAGCTCCTAGAAGGGTTTGGTTCCTTTGGTTCCCTCTTTGGTGCCTGTGAGTAGGAAGATTGAAAGCAGCAGTCACAAAGAACTAGTTTAGCAGGGACCATTGCACTTTCTTCGTGACTTTTTTCACTTTGCTGCAAGATTGTGACTTTGTCAGGAATGTTGCTGATCAGGAGGAAATTGCCGCCCGAGGCCGGCTGCTTTGAGAAGTGTTCACTGCTGAGGGGCTGAGGGTAATGGAATGATTGTAGTACTTCCACTTTCCATCTTCACCCCAGGCCCCTATATGTTTCCCCAAATAGTGTTAGTACATGTGTCTTTCTAAAGTGACATTTTCCAATCAGTGTCATACTGTGAGGCTTTTAACTTGCCCTTACGTTCAAGGAACCACATTCTGTTTATAAGAAAGAAAATGATAGAGGAGAACCATTGCCAAATGTTAGCTATAAAAGTATCACGTGTGTTTATAAGGCACTTTCCCTCACTGAGAAGTAACTTGCTAGTATATTAGTAGCAGGATGAAAGGAAAACTTGAATCTCAAAAAATAACCTGGCGGTACTTTCAGTAGCTGTTGCTTTATTTGCTAATTTAGGCAGTTTAGCTGCCAGCGCCCATTCTGTTGTTCACAGTCAGGCCAACCGTTTGATTCGAGTATTTTATTTATCCTTTTTGGCCCTAACTCTGAAGGGAAGAAGTCGCACCAGGGAGTGCCTCCAGAGGAATGAGCCTTCTCGGGATTAAGTCACATGAGCCAGACTCAGAGAGACTGGTGTGCAAACCAGGGAGCCACTTAACGATTGTGGAGGAAAGATGATAAAGCCAGCCACGCTCAACCGGTCATGTGGGCAGAGGACACCTGCTCCCTCCCTAGGACAGACCAAAGGGGCCGCTGGTTTTATTACAACAATAGCCACGTCTCTGGTGGCTTTCGTGACACAGTGGGAGAGTGGAATAGTTGTGGCAGGAGATGGCATGACCCGCAAGGCTGAAAATATCGGCTGTCCAGCTTTTTATTG